TGCAGCTGCAGTTTCTGCTGCAGTTGCTGCTGTGTGCAGCAACTGTGTGTGTTGCAGCAGCAGCAGCAGCCCTACTGAGCTGTCTCTACGCTACGCTAGACCCCGCCAGGCTGCCTTGGGGGCTGGGGGGGGGCCCCCGAGGGGCCTATGCGTGTCTATGTGTTTCCCCTCCCTGATAGGAGGAGGGGGCTGAGAGTTGTGTCGCGGGGAGAGAGAGACAGCAACTCTCTTGGGCCCTTCAGCACCAGCAGCAGCAGCAGCAGCAGCAGCAGCAGCAGCAGGAGCAGCAGCAGCAGCAGCAAAGCTGCAGGGGGTACTGCGTGTACGCGGGAACCGGGAGGGGACACTCAGCCTGCTTGCTGTTGCCCAGGCGGTGTGGGGTGGTGGGGGGGAGACAGAGCGCTGCAGCTGTCTCCTCTGCAGGGGATCGGGATCGGGGCCGGGATCGGGATCGGGGTCGGGGTCGGGGTCATCTCCCACGGGGGGAAACACACCCTCACACCAGTACTGCAGCAGATGCTGCAGCTCAGCAAACGCAGAGCTCTGTGCTGCGCTCTGGGGACCGCTGCTGTCTCCTTCGGCTACCTGCAGCAGCTCCTCAGCATACAACAGCGACGGGTCTCCTCCTACGTTTGGTGGGCCCCCATAGGGCCCCCCATGGGGCCCCCCATGGGGGCCCCCATGGGGGCCCCCATGGGGCCCCTGGGNGGGCCCCCATAGGGCCCCCCATGGGGCCCCCCATGGGGGCCCCCATGGGGGCCCCCATGGGGCCCCTGGGGGGCCCCCCCGGGGGCCCCCGCCCCGGAGACAGAAGAAAAGAGAGATGAGAAAGGCTGAGAAGACAGCCGCTGTAGGTTGAGAGAAACTTCTGCTGCTAGCTGCGCAGACACCAGACGAGTTTTATGCTGTCCCCTTGTGGAGAGAGTAGGCTGAAAGGAGACAGCACGTGTGGGGTGTCTCTTGCTGCTGCTGCTGCATGCACCCAAGAGGCCCCCTGTTCCCCCCTCTGCAGCAGCACGTCTGTTGCTGCTTGCTGCTGCTGATAAACACTGCAGCAACTCCCCCTGAGATACTGGCATCGGGCCCGGGCTCTCCCGGCCCCCCATACACTGCAGCAGATGCAGCTCACGCAGACACTCCTGCATACAAAGACAAAGACAAAGACAGAGACAGATAAAAGGAGACAGATGAATATATAAGAGAGGGGAGATAGAGAGACGGAGAAGTAAAGGAACATAGACACATATAAAGAGACAAAGAAAGAGAAAGAGAGACAGAAGAGAGAAAAGGACACAGACAGAGGCAAGCAGAGACAAGAAAAAAAGGAAAGGAGACAGGCAGACAGAGACAGAAGAAAAAGAGGAGACAGATAGAGGCAGAAGAGAGACAAAAGGAGACAGCCAGCAGGCCAGCAAGGGACAGGAGAGAGAGGAGACAGGAGAGAGACAGAGGAGACAGGAGAGAGAGGAGACTGATAGAGACAGAAGAGAGAGAGGGGACAGAAGGAGACAGAAGAAAGGAGACAGAAGGAGACAGGAGAAAGAGAGGAGACAGAAGGAGACAGAAGAGAGAGGAGACAGATGGAGAGAAGAGAGAGAGGAGACAGATAGAGACAGGAGAGGAGACGGAAGGAGACAGATAGAGACATGAGAGGAGACAGAAGGAGACAGAAGGAGACAGTAGAGAGAGCCCGTGTGTGTGTGAGCTGACGAGGAGAGAGGCAGCTGATACTGGGTGTCTGCCTTCTGGGTCGTATTCAAGCGAAGACAAAACAGCCAAATAAGGAGCCAAATCTTTCGGCTGCTGCGCCCCCAGCACCGCCTCCAGGTGGTACTGGTATGCACGGTCGCGAGCTGCAGCAGCAACAGCANCTGCTGCGCCCCCAGCACCGCCTCCAGGTGGTACTGGTATGCACGGTCGCGAGCTGCAGCAGCAACAGCAACAGCAACAGCAGCAGCAGCAGCAGCACATGCAGCAGCAGCAACAACAGTATCAGCAGCAGAAACAGCAGCAGCAACAACAGCAGCAAAAGCTGCAACTCCACTAGAAAACGAGGCCAAACCCAAACACCCACATAGCAGCAGAAACCCCGCAGTAACAGCAGCAGCAGCAGCAGCAGCAGGAGCAGCAGGCACAACTAAAGCTGCGGGAGGAGTAGCAGCAGCAGCAAAACCAGCAAAAGCAGCAGCAGTAGATGCAGCAACAGTAGCAGCAGCAGCAGTAGCAAGAGTACCAGCACGAGCAGCAGCAAGAGCAACACCAGCAGCAGCAGCAAGAGCAGCAGCAGCAGCAGCAGCAGCAGCAGCAGCAGGAGGTGTTAACA